GGAGAGCGCCAACCATTGACAGGGGGGACGCGTGTGCCACAAGCTCGGACTACCGTGTCTCCATTAGCGCGAGCCAACCTGGCGACGGCAGTAGTGTCCCGTGAACATCACTGTTAATGACGTCCTTCTTGTAGAGCGGACGACCTTCCGCGCCTTTCACCGCTGCGACGAGGCAGTTCGATTTGTCGCCAGTACTGAAGGCGCTCGGCCAGGCGCCGCGATTCTTCACCACGGGCGCATGATGCGAAGACGATAATTTCAGTATGTCAGGTTTCCGGCCTACACCCCGCGACCAGGATCCCCTTCCTGGGTGAATGCTTCCCATCGTGGACTGGTAGTGACTGGCTATCCTTGCCTTCAGATCTGCCGCATTTGGCGATCCTGTGGGCACTCTACGGAGAAGGGTCTGGTGCAAGCAGTGCTGATCTGCCGTCACGCTACACTTAGGCACCCGTCTCATGGGCAAGTTCAATGCAGGTAAGCAAGCCTTGCCATTATTGCAATCTCTCACGCACGATCTCAAAAGTCTATGTGCTCTGGACCAGCAAAGCCTTCGGCATGCCCGTCGGAGACCATTGCCACAGACACCTGGACTACGCCACACCGTCCATCTGCAGGGCGACGCCTGGCGCAACTGAACAGACAACTCCAGGGCAAATATACAATTGGTCGGTGGCAATGCCTTCAGCTCACGGCTCAACATACATAATTGCGCCCTAATCGTTTTTGATTCTCGAGGCATCCAGTCAGCTGCCACAGATCGCCGTGTTTCCGATGTCAATGGGTTGATCAGTTTTATGTCTGGTAGTTTCCGCATATTGTGTATGTGCAGTACAGTATTGGTGATTGTAAAAATATCACTCAATTTCTCTTGGCCCCTTTCCAGCCGTCGTTCTCCAGGCCCTCAGAATGCGTGAACACTACAGGCGCATGTGACTGCTATCTATGACCATGATCTCATTCTCCCCTGCAGACCTTATATAGAAATCGCGACGGGCTGTGACAGTCACTTTGCCAGCTCATGTTGGTTTGTGTGACCATCTACTTGCAACACACCCTACGCAAATATCACCGTTTGAACGATGAAGCAGTATACAAATTGGTGGCCGGGCTTGTCGAGACCCTTGTACAAATCCGCAGCTGTCGCCGGAATATTGGTGTACAGCAGGTTCAAAGCGTGCAGATTGCTAACATGTACAATGGCTTACTTTGACTTCACTTCAAAATTGTACTACTCTAGAGTCAAGACCGTGCTTCACTGCTGCGGTCACTTGACATCTCTTTCACTTCCACACTACACTTTACGTATATCGTTACCCTCTCCGACACTTCCACTCGACACCTCTACCATATGCCACACTCCGTCATCAGCACCACGCAGCTTACTTCTGAACCACAAACATGACCACCCCCGCCGCAACCCCACAAGGTCCATCGAAACGCGACATGCCTTCCAAAGCGCAGGATAAGCCCAAGCCCAGCGGTATCCCTGGCAAGACTGATGCAAATCACAAGAAGACACTGTCTCAAGTCGAGGAACTCCCCCGCAGTGCCAGCGAGGCCAACATCAAGACCACGGAAGATGACTGGGAGGTCGTGCGCACAAAGGAGGTGCTGGAAAAGCAGGACGAAGAGGAGGAAGACTGGGTGCTTGTCAAGTGAAAGAGCATGGTCGTTGGCACCACTACATGCTTGCAACGACGAATACAGTTGCAGACTTGCGGCATAGTATTGGCAACCACTCAAGGGGAAGGTTGCTAGAGGATCATCAGATCTAGAGCTAGGAAGCATGGACGTCACGTAGAAGCAATGGAAGCGTTTGGGTCGTATGTTGTTATTGGTGACTTGATGCTCCAGGGTATCGTTCATCCGCGCCGCTCTTCAACAACATCCTGAGTCATGCGCATATTCTCGAAAGGGACTTGGCCTCTTTCTCGCGCCGCCCCGTGTCTGCAATCAGGCAACGTGGCCCGTCTGACCGGCGTGCTTTTAGTCGCAGCTGCGTGTCTTGTGGTTTATCGATGTCCAGAGACCGTTACTCATTTCTTGCCCTTCTTCTTCTTTTTACCACCTGTACCTGCAGCCGCCGGTACTGGTACACCACCCATCTTTGCGTCTCCTTGCTCATCCACCTTCGGTGTTGCGACACCAGCATCTTGTGGTGCGCTTAGATCCTCAATCGCTTCAGGTAACGCGGCCATCTCGCGCCCCAGCCTGCCCAAACTACTGACCAATCTCCCTACTTCCGCGGCCTTGGTTGTTTCGTAATGCAGACATGTCCCCGAGACAGGGTCGTAGGTTTTCAGGACAAAGGTCGCTGTGACTTCTTGGAGGTTCTGCGATTGTGGCGGTGGCGACGATGTGCGTGAAGAGTCGGCGGGCTTTGCTGCTTGTTTCGCTGCGTACTTCTCGCGCTTCTTGATCTTCGAGGCTGAGGGCTTCAGGACGGTGTATTTGGATGTAATGCGTGTCTATGCAGGAGTCAGCTCGCGTGAGACGTGTCAATTGAGCTGGACAGGCATACACTTGTTGGCCTCGCTTTCAACAGCAGCGACGACTGCTCGTACCATTCGGTACTGGTGTTGAGGTACGGCATTGTATAGTGTGGGGTGCTCTGGGGTCCGGCGCAGCGAGATGTGGTGGGTGGGGTCGGTCGCCAAGATTCATCGGGACTAGTCGGCCCGTGCAGGTGTATTCGATGAGGAAGTTAGAGCTCTGTTGCTCACGCGATACTACTTGAGGCACGTTGGTGGTAACTTGCTCCAGTCTTTTGATCCTAGGCGGCCAAAATCAGCGCATTGGTTGACAGCAGGCACCAGCGAACCGTGGTTGAAGGAAGAATATCATCGAATCTTCCAATTAGGTGTGACTCGACCAAGTCAATGGCTCTCGCAAACCAAAGTCCTCTTCTTCTTTGCAGACCATATTCTCCCTGAGTTCTCGCAACTCTTTTACAGGCCTCAGCTTTAGCTACACCTGTATTGCTTAAAGGTCACGATCGACTTTCTGTCACTGACACCACAATGACCGACTCAATATCATCGAGTCTCAGCAATCTGGACCTTGAGAATGATACAACGAGCATCAGCAATTTGAACTCAAGCAGCAACAACGGCGAAGACCTCAACGCTACTGTGCAGGACCTTATTGACCGATGCAAAACGCTCTACGACGAAGTAGAATCCTACATCAGAGCAGTCGATGAGCGTCAGAAGATCACCCGAGTCCAACACCCAATCGAGTATCGCAACCTACGGAATGACTTCAAAAACGAGCTTGCATTTCTGAAAAAAATCGCCAACTCGTCCATGACCGAGGAAAAGATTCGACATTACGTTGTATCGTCAAACCTTACCTACTACGAAGCTCTCTGGGGTGCTGCCAAACAGTCACGTGGGCTACATGCTTTTCGCAAATACTACTTCTGGGATCGACACAAAGCGCCCGCTGGGAAACGCACACTCAAAGGCCTTAGTCTGGGCAAAGGAGGCGTAGGAAAGGGCAAAACTGCAGCTCTGGTCGACATTGTAGCAGACGAAGGCAGAGAATGGATCCGTGTGTCGACTGTATCCGAGAAACGCATCATCTTCGACCTCGCGAAGCTTGGATGGGTAAACGACTCGGACTCAGATGACGACATGCCAGACTCAAGGCCAATGGATTTAGATGATGAGGGCGACGAGGACCAGGTCGACATTGTGCGAAATGCCCGCGAACTTGCCCGAGCCGCACGCGCCAATCCAGTACAAGGGCGACCACCAAAAGTGCGCATTGTGCTCACTCGCATCATGGCCGGCAAGACGAAAGAGGTGGATGCTATAATTGCAAAAATCCGCGCCACAGGGGCGACCGTACAGTGTTCTGAGGATGTTCCGCCTGCTCAGCCTTTGGATGCTGTTCTCCCGAATCTGCTGATCGATCGAACACGCGCATTATCAGAGACGCTCAACGTGGATTGCACGATATTGCTCGCACTCATCTCAGACATCTCACACAAGCCTTGTCCAATCCTAGACTGGTATCCTGGTGAAGTCCAATCTCAGATAATAGAGGAAGCTGGCGAGAATTTGCTACCGACACACCTGTACCCTGCAATCGGCTCACATTCAATGGTCTGCACACAGGAGGCCGCGGACCAGATGAACCTGATCGTTGACACCCTCGCTACTGACGAGGAGAAGCGGAGAGCCCAGCTGCTTATCGCGCAAGGTGACTGCGAGGGGCGCTCATCTGACGATCTAGTGGCAGAGTGGGCGTCCATGTCCGATCATCCTGTCCCTGCGGGTCTGTGCCTACCAGTCCGCGTCGTACCGAGCAACATCGACGGAATCATCCCAAGACTGCCCGCTGCAGCACGCAAGTTGAAAGAGGAGATGAGCCGACTGAACGCATCGATCTTCTTCTACGGTTGGGCAGAAGGTCTTACAACGCTGAGCTCGAATCGTGCGCGAGCCCGCCAGATCGAGTACGCCATTAACCAGCATGGCCTCGAGGATGGAGAGGCTGGTCCTCATATCTGGCTGTGTGGCGAGTCAAGGAGCTTGATTGCGAAACATGGCCGCAGAGGTCAACGTTAAGTTGGTGACAACCAACTCTCGAGCACCGAACTCGATATGATATGGTCCGCTTCTCGTGACTACTGACAACGACAGATCCTACGTACAAGCAGGCGATTAAGCATAGCATCAACTACATTCAAAAATCTATACAACCATATCAAAGCGCACTTATCCATTCCCTTTGACGATACAATTCCTCACGTCAATTAATACTCTCACACAGCCCAAAAAGCAACCAACCCCTTCCCACAACCCACACACCGACCGACCCCAACCAGTCCACCCAAAAACCACGCAATCCGCCAGCAAAAAAGACGACGTTGGCAGGATTCGAACCTACGCTCCCGAAGGAACAAGATTTCTAGTCTTGCGCGATAACCACTCCGCCACAACGCCGCAAAGGTTTGTTTCGAAACTGCTCCGACTAGGAAAGCAGTCGAGTGCCCTCTGCCCGAATCGAACGAGCGATCTTATCATTTGCAAACCATATCGATTCGGAAGAATTGAATGAGTACTAGTGATACGCTTTACCACTAAGCCAAGAGGGCGGATTGTGATTGGTTGATGAAAGGGAGAACGGAAATATAGCTTATATACAGAAACAAAATTCGTACACGAGGGAACGTTGCGTCAAAGCAAGATCAAAAGACCGTTGAGAATATCGGTGTGGAGGTTCGAGTCGCAGAGATGTGGGCAATGAGCGGTCAGGGGGTGGAAAATTTCGATATCCGAGGTTTGAACTAAAGTATCTGGCCCACTTCCCCAACACCAATACGAAGTGCATTGGCCTAAAGCACTACAACTTCATTGCCCTTTCACAACAGATACAGCCCCTCTACAAAGCCAACAGAGCAGCGCCCGCAGCAGCGCCAATAAGCGCACCGACGCTGCTCCTTGTCGCTTTACCCTCGAACTGCGGTGGGCTGCCACCGCCGGTGTAGTTACCACCAGTACCGTTGAAAGTGACACTGTACTCACCAGTCAGCGGCACAGGGCCCTGCAGCGTCTGCTGTCCATTCGCACCGAGCAGTGTGATGTTCTTGACCTGGACGTCGGTGTTGTAGCCAAAGTCGCCCGTCATGCTGAACTTGCCATTGTCATATGTGAAGACGATCTCGCTTGTGCTGTCTTGCTCCAGGCTATCTCCGTCGTCAAGATACAGCGTTCCATAGGCCTGGTTGGTGGAGTTTGGCGCGATCCAGATTACAAAGTCTTGCTTGCGCAGCTCCGTGGTTGTGTTTGCTGATTCAGCACGCAGAGGTAGGATGGCGCCACCACGGATGTGCAGTGGGATGGAATCGAAGCCTACGTCGGTGAGGTTGATGTAAGAACCCGTACCTTGGATCTGCTCGAGAGTCCACCAGTCATAGAAGGTGCCATTGGGCAGGTAGATGCTGACGGAAGTGCTGTTCTCTTCAAGCACAGGCGAGACAAGAATGTCGTCGCCGTAGAAGAACTGGTACTCGATGCCGAAAGTGTTGGCGTCCTCTGGGTAGTGGAAGAACAGCGGATTAAGGAGCGGAAGACCGGTCTCGCTCTGACGGTGGAAGGCGGTGTAGATGTAGTCGAGCAGGCGGTAGCGTATAGCGATAGCATTGCTCGCTGCGGCGCGGGTCAGAGGCCAGCGGTAGAATTCTTGGAAGATGGAGGTGTCGCCTGCGTGGTTCCTCATGAAAGGATAGAACGCTCCAAGGGTCGCCCAGCGAGCGCAGAGAGTCTCGGTAGTGTTACCGGCGAAACCACAGATGTCAGGTCCGACCATTGGGATCTGGTAGATGGAAGCAAAGTTGAGGATTCCGCCAATGCTGAAGCGGTATTGCTCCCAGGTGCTGACGTTGTCGCCGAGCCACTTGCCCACATACTTTCCGAGGCCGACGAACTATTTGGAGTCAGTAAATAACAAAAGTGCAAAGTGAGCAACGTACTGTCGATCGAGTGATCAAGAAAGGACGGCGCTCTGGTCGTCGCTGCAACATAGACGCCCTTGACGCAATCGACATGAGCGAGCCCCAGAAGTTGTGCGTGTCGTAGTGGTAAGAGCCATCATAATTGCGAATGTCAGTGTCCATCGTTTTGTTGCTGATCGTTCCAGCAGCGTTCTGAATCTCATACGCAGGGTTGATAAGATCGCGGCCTGGTAGACCAAGACGAGCGGTCGTCCCGTTGGACTGGCGTGCATGCACAGAACGCTTGGTCATTGACAGCTTTGAGTTGAATTGGCGAGACTGAAGCGTGCGCTTTGTAGTGTTCGTACCAGATCCAGGTTGGAAGCCAGCAGGAAAGCCAGGGATTTCACGGCCAGGTCCACCAGGACGAACTGGCGGAGGCTCTGGAGGGTTCTTCGATTCCTCAGAGTAGGCTACAGGGTCAGAGCAAGGGTATGGGCAAAAATTTGCGGGCTCATTCATGTCATTCCAGAGCCCGTCAATGTCAACGCCTGTAGCAGGGTCGAAGAACTGCTCAAATTGGCTGTTCCAGTAGCCCTGAGTGTTGGGGTGAAACCAGTCAGGGAAGACAGTTGGGCCTGGCCAGACAGCACCCTGATAGATGGAGCCATTTTCGCGAATCTGCCATACGTTCTGCTCAACACCTTCGTTGTAGACATCGTTATCACCCGCCCATACAGCGGAGTTGACCATAACAATGTAGTGCTGTTGGTGGGCATGGAGATAGTCTACCAGACCACGTACCAGCTCCAATGGGTACCGTTCAGGATCCAGAGTAAAAAGTCGACGGAGCTCCATGTAGTCAATGTCCGTCCACATGACTTCCAGTGGGATGTTGGCTTGTGTGTAGTTGGCCACGACTTCGGCAACCTCCCATACATCGCGGTAACCATACTTGCACTGATGGAAACCGAAACCCCAGTAAGGCATCATGGCAGCGGTCCCAGACAGCGCGGAGTACTGAACAGCCACCTCTTTGGGTGTAGGACCAGCCAGGAAGTACAGGTCCACAACACCACCGAGGGCATTGTACTCGAGGAATTGACCATCTGAGTCATCGATTTTAATGTCCATACCCTGAGAGCTAGCAAGGAGTACACCGTGAGTACCGTTCTCGCCGCGGTGGTCGAAGTACACAGGGTGAGATCCGTAAAGGTTGGTTCCAGGAGGAGTGCCGTAAGCATCACGATTCCACAGCTGTTCATGTTAGCCTCTCGCACGATCAGATCTTTCGTAAAGCCGGTGACATACAGTTCGGGTGTAGTTGGTGGTGTTCAAGTGGAAATTATCGGTAGACTCGCCCAGGCCGTAAAGGTTGGGCGCTTCAGGCAGCTTAGTCCTGAGACGGAGGTACTGCGTCTCGAAAACCAAGCTTGCTGCAGAAGTATCAAAGATGGTCTCATTAGTATCTCTGCGAGTGATCGCGAACGAGAACGGGTTCTCTGTGTGTGAGAAAACAAGAGCTGAGTTGGCAGGGTCAAACCCATCATCGTTTTGAGGTCTAGGCCAGACAGATTCCTGGATCTGGAAGACCTGCTCTGCGGAATCGTAGATCTTGACGTGCAGTCGGCTTTCTGCATCGATAGTCAGTAATGGCAACATGATTGGTGTTTACTGCGACCATACCAGTCTGGTATTCCACTTCCAGCTTCAGATCGGTCAGATCATCACCATAGACGTTGCATGCTGTTCCGGCAAGAGCGAGATCCGCAGTGACTTTCGCGCCATCGTTCTGAACGTTGCTCGCAGTGTATCCCGGACAACTCTCAAGAGAGGAGCTCTGTCTCTTGACCAGCGACGTGGCCAAGACAGGCAATGCCGACCCCAAGAGGATGAGACCTTTGCCGATCATACTGATGTTGCTCGGAGCTACTCAGAGGTGTACAAGAATCCCCTTCGACTGGGGAAATGTTGACTTTATACCTAGTAATCCTGACCTCGTAGCATCATGCGGCCCGACATGGCACGCAGTTCAGAAGCACAGCAACTCCACATACCAAGACGTTAAAAGCTCCACGCGAGGTACCAAGCCTCGCTCCCCGCAACTCCGGTCGTCATGGCGGCAGATGCACATGTCTTGGCATTGCTGCAGTAGATGCTCCAAACAGGTTACATGGCGGGGTCGACATGCGCGGGTACGAGGTCCAGTGGTTGTAGAGCCGGACTTCTACCCGTATGAAGGCGATGTTTGCGTACACAGCGCGGCTTGCAAAAGGTTAGTGAAGGCGGAGGCTCGATACTCGCGTAGTTGGCGTCGAAAGTGCTTGCCAATTGGGTACATCTCGGACCGTCGAGACCTGTGATTCGTTGAGAGCCGGCCCGAGATGCATAGGTTACCGACAAACGACGGCGTGGCTTCCAAGAAACAAAGCAAGCGGAGAGTCAAGTCACGATGACCACGGGGATTTTGTAAGAAACGCGCTGGAGGCTGAACTAGAGTGGAGTTCGTGAACCAATTCCCCGCACATCTGCATCTTTGCCGTGCTGATACCGCCTGCCTACTTGAGGTAAATAGAATTGTTCCTAGATGAAGAACCTCAAGTACCTATAACACAGGCTCTTTTGTTTGCAATTGGACTGTACGCATACTTTCTACTATACGTGTGTGCCAAACATTCTCCACTTCCTACACCTTCGCCCCACTTTTACCCATCTGCTCCCTTGCCTGCTTGAGCTTAATCGCTCTCATCTTCTTCATGATCCTCTGCTCCCTCGCCTCATCATAACCACCTGCACCGCCGGCTAGTCACGCCTGCTTCTGCACCTTCCTCCTCTGCTTCAACATGTGCGTGAACAGGACATAGCTCCCGGGCACATAGATGGCCAGGATCGCCCACAGCACGTACGGGATCTTCTCGTCGACCAGCTTCGCAGCGGGAATAGCTTGGTAGACAAGCCAGCATTCGCTTGAGATGCCGAGCGGGTACAGGATCATGAATGTGTTGTAGCGGAGGAAGGAGAGCAGCGAGGGCACGCCGAGGCCGGAGAGCGTGAAGACGAAGTAGCTGTAGCGCACGACTTCGGTGAAGGACCAGGCGAGCAGCATCGTGCTGTATGCTGGGCTGTGCTGCGTCGTGGCGGGGAAGTTGTAGGCGATGCCCCATACGAGGAGGAAGCGGGATGCTACTTGCATCAGAGTTGTGATGAGCGGTGCTCGTACGATGCCTGGATAGCGACTGTTAGCAATATCCTCTCTCCAATTTAGAAAGATTGTGAAGAGCCACGTACCAACAAGACTATGAAGCACCTCCAGCCCAGCCAGACTCTGCACTATCCTTGTGTACTGCTCAAGCTCGTTGAACACCTTTCCGCTAGCAAGTCCAGCCGCGGCGCTTTGCAAGTCATTACGACCGAAGAGGCTGCCGGCTTTGCGCGCAGTTTGCACCTCATGCGCGCCAATTGTGACGGTCTTGTAGAGCACGCCTGCCCATAGCGCGGCCGAGACAGCGTTGTAGGCAAGTAGATATGTGTTCTTGACGGGTGAGGACGCGGGGCGGGATTTGGAGGGACGCTGATCCCGGGGAGAAGTTGCGGAAGCTTGTTTGGGCGGCATTGTGGCGGTCGATGAATGTCAGAGGGACAGACAAGTAGAAGGATTGTTA